TCCCCCTCCCTCCCCTCGTCGACCAAGCGGAAGGAGAGGCCCGCACAGATGGAGAGGATTCCAAGGACAGAGCCTGGCCGCAGCCCTCACTCGAATCAATCAAGTGTACAGTCACACCTACCCCACCACCACCAAGAACAACACAATGAAACAGACAAAAAATGGACCTTACCGTCGTCCACCCTTCCGCTTCTTGTTGCCCTCCTGTTGCTGCTGCGGCTTCTTCTGATGCTGCTGCTGATTCGCGTTCACTCGGCCGCCTCCGCTTCCCTGTTTGTCATCGTCGCCCTTTCCCCCTGCAGACGGTGACGGCGCACTGCCGCCCTCCGCCTGCTTGCTCTGCCCCCCTGCTGGCGCTCCTGGCAAGACCGCCGGTTGCGCCGCTGGCGTTGTCCTCCCTGCTGGTGGTGGTGGCGCCACGGCGGCGGTGCAACGGCTGACGAAGTCGTTCACGATGCTTTCGACGAGGCGCAGCTCGCCTTGGTGCGCCACCCGTGTCGTGAGTGTCGTGCGGCCGTCGGTAGACTTCAGCACGAACGTCTTGCGGCCGCTGGTGGGCCGCACGCGCAGCATCAGGCGCGACTTCTTAACGCCGCTGAGCTGCACCATGCGCCGCGTGGCCTCAGCGAACTCCTTCAGATCCAGCTTGACCATTGAGCAGAAATCTGTTTTCGGTTTAGCTTTTCTTCCGTTCTTTTTTTTTTTGGCTTTTTTTTTCCTTTTTGCGCGCTCCGTGTGCTGCGCTTACGTTTGTTTTCTTTTCTTTTCTTCTCTCACCGTTCTTCCTTACTTCGTTGTGTTATTCCCTCCGTTGTGCGAGTCGTCCGCGCAGCACTCCCTCGTGTGGACGAGGTGCTTTCCGGGTCGCCGCCGTCGCCGCCGCCCCTCGCTGTCGCTGCTTGCTGCTGATGGAGGAGATGTGTAGAATCCACGCACCCCTTTTTGCTCGCCTCCTCAATCGCCGCCGCTCTCTGTCGCTCGCTAATCTCTCTCTCTCTGCAGCACCAACAGAAGGGAGTACACAGCACCCGTCGCACAGCGTGGCAGAGCGCACAGCGGCCAAACAAGGAGGGTTAGACAAGGAGAGAGAGAGAGANAGACAGACAGACAGTGTGTGTGTGTGTGTGTGTGTGGAAGCACCAGAGAGCAAGCGGCAACTACAACAGCATCACAAACAGCAAGCCATGAGAGGCGAGGCGGCCCTGCATCGTACATGCGTACTGATGCCGTAAGCACGAGCCACAAACTGGCGAGGCAAAGAACGAACGAACAACAACAACAACAACTACAAAAAAAAGGTACCAGCCTTGACAATCACCGGTGCTAGTCTACAGTAATTAAGAGGGCGTGTTCAGAGAACCACATCTTCAAGGAGGAAAAACGCACATTTACGGCATTACGCTACGTATTGTTGTTTTTTTTTGGGGGGGTCTTTTGCGTCAAACAAACAAGAGAGAGATATATATCTATATATATAAATATAGTGAAGAAGAAGGAGAATACATACGCGTGGCCACATCTTTCTCACCCCGGCGCCCGCAAACATCACGTTCACCACTGCTGCTGCTGCCACTGCACGTGGAGCTACCCGACTCGCACCTCCTAACACTCTGCTTCCTTCTCGTTCCCCCGCCCCCTTCTTTCCTTTTCTTTTTGTCTTTTCACTCTTGCATCAACCCTTCTCCGCGTATTCTTGCGTCTGCGCGTGCCTGTGTGGACATATATATATATATANCTTTTTGTCTTTTCACTCTTGCATCAACCCTTCTCCGCGTATTCTTGCGTCTGCGCGTGCCTGTGTGGACATATATATATATATATATGCGTCTGGGTTGCCCCTCGCCGCGCCACACGCTGCGCGACGCCGTCAGCCGCACCAGCGGCCGTCGGTGGTGTAGTTCACCGGGTCCACGCCGGCAAACTTGTACCAGTCATCCACGCCGCGCAGCCGCCCGACGCCGTAGCGGTCCACGTCGACCATCACCACTGGATCTGGCGTCCCCTTCGCGATGCGCAGCACGTCCACGCCCCGGATGCGGGCGCGCAGCAGATACTGGATGCGCTTCCGCGACTCCGACTGCACGGCAGACCAGCGGCGCGCCTCGGTCCACACCTTCGGCTCCCCCTTCCGCCCGTAGAAGTGGTAGCAGATGCCGCGCTTCGGCGAGTGGATGTCGTAGCCGTGGGTCCACAGTCGCACCGAGTACATCACCTCCTCGCCGTCGAAGATGTGCGGCAGGTGCGGGTCGAACGGCACCTCGCGCAGAATCGACGAGGTGCTGAAAAGAAACCCGCCAGCGGCCCACGGCTGCGGCAGCAGCCGCACCACGCCGGGCTCGAGCCGTAGCGCCGCCAGAGTGTACGGCGTCAAGTACCGCGAGTTGGCCTTGTGCTGCTCGTTGCTGCTGACTACAATGCCGTTGAGCCGTACGTATCCGGCGGTGTCGAGAAAAACAGCACGGCAGAGGTACGCGGTGGTGGTACGCTCCCACGCGAAATTGCTGTCCTCCTGCACGTACGACTCGGGATAGTGTGAGAGGACGAGCTTCGGGTGCCGCATCGCGGCGTGCATGGCCACAATGCGGGTGTCCCATGCATAGACAAAGCGGTTGTGTGAGTCCAGCACGAGCGTGTAGTCCTCGCCGCCGTACAGCAGCATGGCCATGTACCGGCCGTACGTCGGACCATACGAAGCAGACGGGCGGATATGCCGCACACGAATGTTATCACCGAGAAAGCACACCGCCCCTTCGTAGTCAGCGCGCTTCAACATTCCTAATCCCCCAATTCCTTCAGCCGCATTTCTTGCAGCTGTCATTCCTGATGACGCTGGTGAGGGTTGCGCCCCAACACACGGCAGCGGTTGCAGTGCCGTGTCGGAGACACAAGGGGGGTCCGTGGCTCGATGCTGCTCCGCGATGCCAATGTACACGCGGAACATGTTCGTCGCCCGCTGCATCATGTGTTGCACAGTTGGCCAGCACTCCTTGTCGCGGTAGCTCGCAACGCTAACAAATATCGTGGCGGTGTGTGCTGGGGTGTCGAGCGGCAATGACGCCGCATCGCTGTTGGCCACAGCGTCTGCGATAGACGCAGGATACGCCTCCGGTACATGCGGTGGGGTGAACTTCACCACATTGCGGTCGCTCATGTTGCTGCTGTCACTGTAGTAGTCGTGGTAGTAGTCGTACGCCACGGCGTCGTACCACGCGGCGGTGGCCGCTGGTGTTTCTGGAGAGAAGCGCCGCATGCGGTGATAGCGGCGCAGTGGATAGTAAAACCGGTTCACGTATACAGAGGGCGCGGCCGACTGCAGCCGCCGCCACCACGCACGCAGAACAGGATCATCTGCAGGGGAATTACCATACGCAGGAAAAGCTCCACCATCCTCCTCACCAGCATGTTTCGACGTGCCAATGAAGAAACGCCGCAGCTGAATGTAGAGAATATCATCGAAGGGCGCATCCGCCTCCGTCTCGTGGCCGGACTCTTCGGCATTGGCACTTATGGTACCGCGCCCAGCGGCCGCGGTAATGGGCGCTCCGCCATTCTCGGCACCGTGGCGAAACTCCTTCTCGACAAAGTCTGCGGCGCGGTCCAGCCCGCCGTTGGGCTGCTGCGCTGCAATGCGACTGATTGCCGCGTGGAGGGCTTCAATGACACACGTGAGGTTTTGCTGCGGCTCCGTTGTGTACTTGGGCAGCACCGCCGCCTTGGGGTCGAAGACGTCCGGCACATCTAAAGGCACTCGGGGCGCGCCTGCTTTGGCGACTCTGCTGCTGTTGCGCCGCCGCGCCTCGGCAGTGAGCTTGTACTGCAGCAGATATCTGCGCAGGGCACTCTTGTGGTACTCGTCGTTCGTGCGTGAAGCGGTTTCATAGAGGCGCCAGACGTCAAGGACGGCGTCGTCGTCGAAGCGCTTCTCCATCTGCGGGGACGGCTCGTACACGGGAGCGTACAGAAGCAGCCACGCACACACACCCGCCAGCGCCAGGCACATCACTAAGAGCACCACAACGTTCAAAATCAGCACGCATATGATGTTATTGTCACTTCTAAACCACTTCTGGATGTCGTTGTATACGCGATACAGCCCACGCTTCTTGCTGCTGCTGGTATTGGTGTTGTCGACCGGCACTGCTGTGGCATGTCGATTGTGTAACGCCGGGTCGTGGCCGCGGCGATGCAGCAAGCTCTGCTGCGGCGGTGTGTCGTTGTTCATCGGCATGCGCCAGCACCCCCTCCCACACACGCAGGTGCGACGTCCTACAACTCTACCACCACCCGCCCACAACGCACATAGAGAGATAGAGAGAGAGAGAGGGAAGAAAGAAAAAGCACGCAACACGACATGTTCGCTGCATCCACACACACACACACACACACTACACCACGCACGCACGCGAAGGGCACATCCGCATCATCCTTTACCCGCCACCCGAGAGCATGGCCCGATGTCGCAGCCCCTTCATGCGCATGCTGGACTCCAACGAACGTCGCAGTCCGTTGTGTTCCACGCCCGCCAGTTCGAGCGCGCGCAGCACTCGTGCAGCGTCATCCTCCCGCAGCCGCTCCCCCAGCACACCCGCCCGCTCGCCCAGGAGCAGATAAAAGTTTGTCTGCTGCTGGTTGCCCGCCGATAGTGCAGTGCCGGTCGGCGTGGGGTGCCGCAGCAAGTTGCCATGATACCTCAACGTCGCGTAGGCGAGCANCCCGCCGATAGTGCAGTGCCGGTCGGCGTGGGGTGCCGCAGCAAGTTGCCATGATACCTCAACGTCGCGTAGGCGAGCATGACGCAACTCAGCTGGTGACCCGACAGCGCCTCGACGTATGCAGCACACATCGGTGCGGCCTCCACCAGCACAGTCACCGCCTCCATTGTCGTGATCTCGTAGAACACAATCGCACTGCACAGCGTCGCCAGCTCCGCCACACCAAACAGCTTTGTCTCTGTCGCCGCCTCGGCTTCTGTTCGTGCGGTTGTTGTTGCTGTCGCACTGCCACCGCAAGGGCGTTGTGCAAAAGCAGCCAGTACACTCTGGGTGTATTCCTTTCCGACGCCGAAGGGAATACGCAAAGCAGAGCGCGGTGGCAGCGGTGATGCGCCACGCCCGCGCTCTTGCCGCCCCGGCACTGCCGTAAGACCCGTCGACGCGGGGGAGCGCAAACACCACGCGACCACGCGGACAGCACGTGCAGGTCCAATCTGCAGCAGGAAGGGGAAGTGCTGCGGCGGAGATTCGCCCGCACCACAGCAGAGACGTCGCACGCAGAGCTCCTCAACCGGCAACACCCCACTAGTGCTGTCCAGCACCTCAATGCTCTCCGAAGCGGGGAGAGAAAGCATCGCGTGAAGCAGCTTGTAGTAGTGCAAGCCAAGAAGCGGCCCCCGCCGATGGCGCTGTGAACGAACAGCAGGGGAAACTGTATCTCCGTCAACGAATATGGCTCGAAGAGCTTGGCGCACAACATAGCCGTGGGCAGTGGTGTGTGGCTCCTGCACCAGCGCCACGATGCGCCCCACCAGCTCAAGGAACTTTAGTACCGCCTCAATAGGCAACAGGGCAAAATGAGCCGTCGTCAGGCGGTTAGTGGTATCGCGGAGCTGGTGTAGCCTCTCAAATCGCACCGCCTCAGTTGAGGACAGAAACTTCTCTTGTTGTTGTTGTTGTTGCTTCCTCTCTTGCAGCACCGTCGTCTGCAGAGCTGCATAGATGTCTCGCAGAATTTCCAGAGCGCGGCGATACTCCTCACGTAGCCTTTGCTGAGACGCCATCTTAACATGTCCCTCTGCCCGATCCCGGAGTCGCTGCAAGTCCCGCTGCCCACGCGGCACATGCAGCTGCTGTCGTTGTTGCTCTCCCTGCTGCGTGTGAGGCTTTCGCTGTGGTTGGCGATACGCACCTCCGTCACCATCTGCTGTCCGCGCGGCGGCAGAGAGCTCACGGCTACTAAGCGGGCGCACCTCAATCGCTTCCATAACGTGTCGCGATGGTGCGGCCCGCTGGCGCCCACCTCCCGTCACAGCAGCAGAAGCAGCAGCGAAAGGTGAAGTAGAGGGGTCAAATCCTGACGCCTTCGCCCCAGTAAAGGCGCTGCTCTGCGTGCGGATGTAATCATGAAATGTGGCGCGGCGCAACGCGGCAATGCAGTCCGCCGACCCGCCGCTGCGCTCAAACGGCTCACGCCGCCGGGAAGCGCGCGTTCCCG